ACAGTATATATATTGCATCCAAATGGCCAAGAAATCAATTATTTTAAGTTAAAGTAAGTATTAGTACGGATTAAATGATGCTTTGGGCTCGGAGTCAGCAGAAGGTCAAGGTCTCGTGCTCCTGTAGTGCTTCATTGAGTTCCTTATAGCCACGCAGCTTACATAGTAAAGAGATTATTTAATGCCCCTTTTCTGCCTCACACTGTAAATGTGATTCATGTTCACTGTTGGCTAACTGACACATGGGCTACTGTAGCTGCTGAGAAATTAACATCCCTCTGCCTTCTCTCCCAGGGTTTATAATTGCAGAGCAAACCTCTCACTGGAGCGCCAAAGAAATCGAACCATAGCGACCTTCTGCCAGTGATCAAAGACTACCTCAACCAGCAACCCCCCCCCCAACACCCCACCCCAACCAGGACCCAGGAGACGCAAACTAAAGAGAGAGGGAGAGAGGTAGTGAATCCACACGAACCATCTCACATCTCAGCAAGAGCTACCTGCTTTACATATGAAACACACCTTTCTCACTTTAATTCCCATGAAATCACGAAGGCAGCGGTTATTGCATGGAGGGGACGTGGAGGAAGTGATGTGGAACGGCTAGAGGGGCTATTACACGGAATCCTTCATTACACCCTGGTCACAGCTTCAGAGTATTACCCCTGTGAAAACACACTCTCACCCCTGGGTGGATAAGTCAAAGAGAGAAGATTGTCTTGTCTCGTTTCTTGTCTTTGTACCTGGTCCCTTGACAGGTATGGTAGGGTTAAACTTATCAACATATGCAGCCTTAGCTCGCCGAAGATGCAACAGACTGATTTAGATCTCTCTGAGCTCTAAGTGAGTTTAAATAACCCTTTTTTGTATCTTTACACCCCTGTCTTTGATTGAAACAGAGATGGATCTTCACAACATGTCTTGGTCTGTGATCAATCAATCAATAAATTAACCCACTTGCTTTTATGGAGGTAGATTATTTACGGCAACAGTGCTTTAACTGCTGAAGTCATCAAGCCTGATAAGAAAAAAAACAGACTGGCTTCAGGCGTCTTCTTGCATTGCAGAGCAATTTTGGTTGTTTGGCACGACATCAGAGGGGAAAAACATCCTGACTCATCCATCAGATACATGTGGAGCTGTTAAGTTTCTCCATTCATTGAGTCATGCAGTTTACAGTAGAGGCAGTTTGTGGAAACACTGACAAATGCAAAAAACCATAGATTATAAAATACAGAATCAGCATCAAAATAAGTAAGAAAATCAGATTCCATATTCAATCAAACACTTATTGACATTTTTAGCTATTCTATGTGTAGCACTTTGTGCATGGCTTGTCTTTAGCTCAGTCCACTGGCCTTAAGGACAGATGATTTTGCTAGCTTCTTTTTTTAACCTGGCCCATGTAGGGTCAATCCAATCTAAAACAATCTAAAACACAATTACACTACAAAGGAGTGTTTTTTGCATAAACAACCAAGATGGCTACCACTGATGAGAGATGTTCAGAATTGACTTTAAATACCAGTAATGAAGAACTTTTTTTAACTTGCCAAACATCTGTGCATTGTGATGAACTAGAAACCAAGCGATGTCCAGCTTCTTCTCACTCCCATCTCATCAAATATTTCAGCTTGGAACTGAAACCTCAGCTACCCCTCTAGTATAACTTCTTGTCTCGTAAAGCTTTTGCAGAAAGCCTACCTGAATGTTGCAGATGCATTATTGCTAATTTGAACATGCATGTGTAAACTGATATGAACTTAAGTGTCATTTTTACATGTTTTTTGCTCTGATTAGATTGAGATCAATCAAATATGATAGGGCTGATGGGAGGAACTCAAAAATGAACTGGGAGGAGTCAGACTAGTTTGTTAAGCAGATAGGTCTGCAGATGTCTGTGTTGTTTGTGACCAAATACCTTAAAGGTAAATGTATTCCTGTCACCATCAAATCTGCTATTATTTGTTGTTGTAAAGCTAATTAGCAAATGTTAGCATGCTAACACGATGAACATTATAAATGCTTATCTTATTGTCTTTAAATTCTAACATGCTAATCCAAGATGACCTTTTTCTAAACAAAGTATAAACAAAGTCAATGTTATGAACATATAGTAATTGGATGTGTAAAACATCAAATATCTTTTTTTTCATTTGATGGTGTTGCCTCATGATTATCACTGACTGGAGTTCATAGATCGTGCAGCTTTTTATATACAGTTATTTATTTGTTTCAGAAAATTTGAGACTGTGTCATTATGAATATTAATCATCAAGCCACATTAATGTTAGAGTAATCACATGGATATTTGATACCAGTTAATATGTCTGTGTAGACATCGATATTTGATTAAACACAATTTGGCACAGTGTCATGTAAAAATCAATCAATAAGTATAATTTTATACACAAGACAATCCATTTAATTATCCTTTCATAGTGCCAAATCACAGCAATGAGATGTTAGCTCACTTCCTATAATGAAAACACAAAGAGAAACCACATAGAAAATCTATTAAGACTTTAATTTTCTTTATGCTTTAAAATACATTTTTGATATCTTTTCCACAAATAAGTTACATAATAAATAAAAGCAAAAACATTTTACATTTCAAGGCATCTATAGCAGCAGAAGTGGCCTACAGAGTGTCATTGATCTGAAACACCAAAGTGTCGGCAGGTTGACATCTGTCCTATCCAGCTTTAAATCCAGACAAGATCAGTCAAACCCAGTTTAAGCAGAAGTATCAAGCCTGAGCTTTAGTCAAACCTGTCAAACTGTCTCAGGGGGGTTCCAGGAAACTCTGCACCAGTGTTCGGAAATTAAATGTGGAAAACACTGGTGTCGACCCTAAAGCATTGGAAGTCACAGGAGGTAGCATCTTACTCTCCTGCCAATCAATTTCCTCATTTTTTTTTCATACATGCAGCAGGCCATGTTTGTTGATCGCTATGATTATCATAACCATCCACCCACATGTAACTGCATATTTTATAGTCTCTGTGGTGAAAGCTGTACAAGAACTGCATTAACATAACAGCAAATTATCAGAACAAGGAACTGGCTGGCAGCAACACTGAATATTTGCATACAAAAAACATCACATAAACATAATATGACCTCAGATCTGCCGGTTTATGCACCCTCTTCACAAAAGATATTGCACTCAGCATAACCTTTATTTTGGAGACTGAGGAGGAAACAAAACCTTATCTTTCAAAATAAAGTGGTCTCGCTGAAGGACTTCCAGTTGGTTATGAAATTGCAGTACATGAATCTTTTAAATATGAATGAGCCAATCAGACCTCTCCAAAATGATTGATGAGACCTGCAGCTGATTAAGGTTAGAAAATAAGTTCATGCAGATGAGATCATGTATCTAAATTACATTCATCTTGTACATGAGGTTAATGGCAGCTAACCTCTGTCAGATTTTTTTCATTAATGTCATTATGTTAAGTAGGATTTAGTACGAACATAACTCACTGAAAATGTATTATCCAAACAAATAATTTACCCATTTCTGCATGACCAGTAAATCATGAAGAAAATAAAGGCAACATCACTGTCACCATTAAGTAAATGTGCAGCATTCACTGACATGCTCACCTCTGGTCATGTGACATGTTAACAGATTACATGTGCTAAATCTACAGTGCAATGTCTCTTGTATAAATGGTCATTCTGAGACAGCAAAGATGTTACAATTTAAATCATACATTTGTGGAATAAATTTAAACTAAGTGACCAGGTGTGGCCTGGGGATTTAAGCTATAAATTGTGCAAAATCTGGCTTTGCAAGAAGCAGAGTAAGCACGGAGCAGCAGGCCAGACACTGTTGGGGGTTAATCAGGGAACAAAATGACCACCTGTTTTTGCAAAGCAATGAGGAAACTCTCACTTGTCTGATTGGGGCATTTGTATGTGGGACTATTTTTGGGGTGGTTGCCTGATTGCTCTCTTGGAGAACATAGACTTGAACAAGGTAATGTGGTTTTTCTAATGATTACACTGGATAACTACACTGGAGTTACTGCCTGCTGGCAATGAGACCACAATGATATGTGGACAAAGAAATCCACAGCTTCTTTTCTGTCTTTCACACCTATCCTCTCATAGATCAGTCACAACACACACATACAGGCACACCTAATTGCAAGCGAACAAATAACTACAAGTGCATTTGGCATGAATGCTCATTAATATACATGGAAGCATTTGGCAGTTGACACATGCAAACAAAAGCAGCCTTGTGTGCACAGTCACAAACAGTCGGACATTCAGAACACGCACATACTTAACACATGTGCACACAAGCTTACGCGAACGCTTGCTCTTACTCATGAGCTGGCACGCACACACTAACGTGCACGCACATACACATGGCTTTCTTGTAGCTTATGCCAGCTTTCTCTCTCTGCATGCCGACTGTGTGTCTGGCACCGAGGTTAAGGTCTGGAGCCACACACAAGCTGTGTGCTCTGTCTGGCTTTAACACACTCCAAATGGGCTTTATGAATGGCTAGGACTCAATGACTGAATCAACACCAGGGGCCACACTCGACCCAATCCGACAACAGTTTTTGGAGATAAGTCAGAAACAACATTCTCGCAGCACAGCCAGGAAGCATGTTTAAATGATTGTGCCACCAGGTTTTCTTTTGTGTTGCACAGCAAACATTGTGCACTGGGGTGTGTCACTCCACAGATGTGTTGCTTGTTTGCTGGTTTTGGGTGAGCCCAAGGTCTTATGAACAGCACTCTGCAGTGCATGTGTGTGTATGTATGGGTGTGCATGTGCTGTGCTCTAGTTGCCCCATCAAAGCTAGCAATGGACCCAGCTCTCGACATTGCGTGGAGCCGGTGACTCTGACAGCCTTTCAGTGATTCACAATCTTGTGCCCTCGGTTGGATGCAAATGCTTTGCCCCATTCAAGATATCAATAAAAAAAATGCTCATCTACATTACATACAGGGTTACAAACACACACATGTCCTCACCACTGCTCTATCATTAGATCCAACACTCGACTGACATTCAGATCTGAATCCAGACTGAAGTCTGACTCAACAAACGGAGCCGTCGGTGGAGTAAGTGGGCGGAGGCCAGATGTCATCGTCTCGAGCCAGTCAGCGGCATCAAACAGTGTCGGAGCTCGCCGTTTTCGTGACTTCCTGGTGGACGACAGAGGGGAGGTGCAGATGGGGGGTGGGGGAGGAGCTGGAATCACCTGGCTGGGGTTTATTAAAGCTGGAGATGGGGGGAGTTCAAGCAGGAGAGAGGAGCAAAGAGGTGAGGGCAGGAAGCTGTCATCTTTGTTGTGCTGCTGGGAGGCCTGGGACTGATCAGCTTGAGGAGGAGGTGAGGGGCCGGGAACTGACTGGGTAGAGGATTTATGATCAGAGACACTGCCAGAGCCTGGAAGAGGAGGGGTAAAACGATCAGACACTGAAATTAATATGACTGTCATTTAAGTAGTGTGCTTTTTAAATCATAAATACTCACCAACATAAGTCATAGGCTCATCCAGAATGTCGTCTATGGACTGCGGAGGGTCCATCTTTGGAAAAGAGGAAGGAAAAAAGTGGAATTCCACTGTAAAAAATGAACTCTTGAGCTATTTTAATGTATGAACATTGAACAATGTCCTGAAATTCTGTCTGATAATTTCCACATTTATATATGGAGGTCAGACATTACATAAAGTCTGTTGAATGTCCAGTTCAACTACTAGTGAGATTGTGCTCTTGCTTGAAGTATTGTCTGGTCATGTCCTGAGATGTTCAGGATAAAAATGCTCAGAGAAATGGGCTTTAGTGATCTCCTTCTCAATTCTACAGACTAACCTGTGCTTTCTGAATGGCCTCCTGTAGTTCTTCCTCCAAGCTGCGAACACCGAGCAAGGTTTGAACTGGACTTGCTGTGATCTGCACTGGCAGCTCAAAATCCTGGCCAATCACATCACAGGGCTGGCAGCAAAACACCTGATTAGAAGGCAGATATTACTTAGTTGACAGGTGATGTGCGCACATGTAGTATACTCTAAAAAAATATTTAGAAGAGATACATATGTATTTGTTTGTGTGTTTACCTGTGTAAACAACACCTCTGTCTGTGCATCTGGTTCTTGCGTGCCATTCGAGGATCCAGTATCCTGTTGCAGGAAAGGATGAAGAGATCCTCCACAAGACTGGAGAAATAATAATAAGAAAGGATTATTGTTGTCATCTGTTCTATAAACTATTTTTCAACAAATTCACATAGATGCAGACCTAATGTCTTTGCTTACCTTGTTGCTGGTTTTATTGGAGCGGTCCCTTGGCCTACTCCTTAACCTCTCCCTCATCTCCAGCTCGACACTCAGCTCCTGCTGCTGCTGATCATTCTCAGTTCTCCATGAAGTCCCGCACTGCAGGGGTGAAGAGGATGACATGGGTAGACTGGGACTTGGAGTTCCTGAGGCTGTGCTGGCAGGAGCCAGGAAGACAGCGTTGGTAAGACTACAATTTTCACCTGCTGAGAAACCATTCAGCACTGTGTTCAGAACTCCATTTGGAGCGTCACCGAGTATCCCATTAGGAATTCCCCTGTCCGCGTTGTACATCTGTTGGTTTGGACTCATGTTGGGTGAGTCTAATCCAGAGCTGGAGCTTGAGCTGGGACTCTGGCTTGGTGGCAGCGGGAGGCAGGGGGTGAGGGGCTCCACGATGGTACCGAGCTGGCTGAAGGGAGCAGGAGTGGGGCAAGTGTGGGGGAGTTGGAAGGGGCGGAGACGCTGCAGCAAAGTAGGCTTGGTGCCGGAAACGGGGAGGCCACGCTTTCGCAGGTGCTGCCGCAACTCAGACACCTTAGGAAAGGGAAGAGGTGAAGCAATAATTACATAGTGACATTAATTGTTATTTGGTGGAGTGTTTTCTGAGAACTTTTGCCTACATTGCTTTCATGTTTTTCTTACAGTTAGATCAACAAGATTTGCAGGAAGAGGCTCAGGTTTGGATGTAGGGTTTGTGTTTGTAGGGGTTTGATTTGTTGTGGCAGGAACAGGCTGGGGATTCAAAGGCATGGCTCCAGAGGACTTCCCAAGATTATTGCGATCTCCACTGCGGACATGACAGAAGCATTAAGGTACCAGGATTACCTGAAAGCTAATAGTTCTCTGATGAAGTAGAGCGAGTGAGATCAATTTGGATTACCTATCACTGAACTAACATCAATCTGTCTGCATACCTGGGCACAACCATGAGTTGTTGTGGCTGTAGCTTTTGTTGTGGCTGTAGCTTTTGTTGTGGCTGTAGCTTTTGTTGTTGTTGTTGTTGTTGTTGTTGTTGTTGCTGTTGTTGTTGTTGCTGCTGCTGCTGGTTCTGCAGGATTTGTAGCTGGAGAATGACCTGCTGCTGCTTCAGGAGATTGGAATAGGCTGGGTCTAAAGATGGGGTAGGGCTCTTCTGTTTGGAACCTAGAAAAAAAATAGTCAAAGTTCAAAAACTTGACCAGAAAAGCAAGACGGAAAGGACAAATGAAAGGTGTTTTTGAATAATTTGGAAAGCCAAACATCACATCTGTACCTCCCGTCCCAGACCCTCCTCTCTGATCTGGAGGAATGTACTGGTGATATGTAAGTGTCCTCATTTTGGGTTTGGTGTCTCGCAGTTTCCGCGGGCGAGGGAGATGGTTGAAGTGGAGGGAAGGTGGTAGGGAGGAGGAGCCAGGGGGGCTGGGAGGCCGAGCTGTCTGTAAAGACGCATATTGCTCAAGTTTTCGTAAATCTGTAACCACACTGAGGTACTTGAGTCATTTCAAGCATTTGGAAACACATGCAAAACATCAAGTCCTTTCACGTTGTTTGACCGTGTTTGCCCCATGATGTCGAGGTTAAACACTTTGTTCAAATGCCTCACAAATCTCCAGATGACAGGATATGTTGTTTCTGACATGCAGCCATGCTGCTTGTGTGTAAATGTGTTAACCTACAGGGCAAATACTGAGCTGCCCAAGAAGTGTACATTGACAGTAATGAATGCAGAACTGTTTAGAGTCTGTGACAGAACAGAGGACTGACCATCCTGTTGGTTCATGCTCTTTTGTCTTTAATGCTATGTAGCTGCTTTGGAAAAACCTGTGACCACTGCCCCCACATGCAGAATCCAAAGATTTGTCTTGATAAAATATCATATTACTCAGTTGATTTGCCTGTACTCTTAAAATCTAAGTTTTATTGTGAGAGGTGATGGAAGTCCTTATAAAATTTAAATGGGCAAAAAAAGGAAACTAAAGGGAACACTTTACACTAATTTTATTAATATCCACATTACCTTTGGCAGCAGGGGTGTGGTCTGAGAGGTCACATACATCCCGTTTGGTCTCCCAGTGGTTGCCATGGAGTTTGATTCACTCAGTGTAACACTTGTCGGCTGTCTGATGCCCTCGGTTGCCGCGAGCATCGCCAAACCAGACTGAAGGCAGAATATCAGATTATCAGAGTTGGCCCAGCCAGCTATTTATAAACTCTTCAGTCTGTTAATATTCACTTTAATGTGTTAATCAGAGGTTATTGGTGCAAATTAATTTATCAGACTTCCTGGTTGCTGCCAACATAGTGTAATACACGATGATATAACAGAGCCTGAGGGCTTTTCTTTGTTTTGTTTCTCCTTTCCTCTATCTTCCTGCCTCTCAAAGAGAGAAAGAGAGAGAGAAAGCTTTTGGCTTTCCAAGGAGTAAACATGACGCACAGCGGAAATCTATTATTTGGATTAAAAGTAAGTATATACGTCATTATGGACACTGTTATGTGCATCTGACAGCAGAGATGGAAAGTGACAAAAACAAGATTTTGTCACCAAAAAAATAAGGTTTTTTAGATATGTTCTTTTTACTTGAGTATTTATTTTTGTGACTACTTTTCACTTTTACCCTCTACATTCTACAACAAATATCTATATGTTCTCCTTCAAATGTAGCTTTAATGCATTTGAATTTAAAATAGCAGGGAAAAATCAGTAATTTGAATGTGGCAATAAAATATGAGGGGAAAAAAGACTTGTCCTGGTTGTACATTGATTCTGTATTTATTGCCAAGTACATTTACACATACAAGGAATTTCACTTCGTATTTTAGTGCAAAAAAATTAGCAAAAGAAATATAAAGACAGCAAAGCTCTTGCTGACAACTTAAATAGAATACGTTAAAACCATAAAAAGCCATTTAAAAAATGTAGAATATAAAAACACAAAATGTACAAAGTGTGCAATGGAGGAGCTGTGCAGGTATGTGCAAGATTTGCAGTCCAAAACAGAGTGCAGTGTAAACAGAAAATATGAACTCCAGTGAGCGTTAATGTAACGCAGAGATTCAGCCCCAGCCTTCAGAGATCAAATGTCTTCAAATTCAGCCAGTAGGAGCAAAGATGTCATTACTGCGGACCATTCTACGTCTTTGGTCTCTATACAGACTGTTTTTCCTGTATACACCAAGCCTGCTAATTCGTGATTGGTCAATTCTACTGGACCACAAATATGCTACAGACGGACACGAGACACACCCATACTAAAAATGCTGACCCACTAGTACAGATTTTAAATTTTTGTGTGGACTAAAAAGATATTAGAATGATATGAGTTAAGACTCCTCAATGTAACCGTGAGTAAAGAATATGTGTACTTTTGCCCTCCACTTCTGACAGAGTTGATAGAACTCCCCCGGTAGGCTAGAACTAAAATATGGATCCATGATACAGCTGCTATGAGAGACTGAGATTCAAGGAAAGGAGTGGGAAAAGGAATCAAGGATGTATGAACTGAGAAATCTGAAGAAACTTAAATTTCAGTGTCATACCTGAGATTGACCAGAGCTGTGGTTAAGGGGCGGAGCCACAGCTGATAACTCCCTCAATAATTGGTCGCCTGAGAGCCCTGGTAAAGAAGAAAAGGCTGGTGATTGGTGGAGACCATGCTGCTCGGTGGAAGTGGAAGAGGAGCAGGAGGAGATGTCATCTTCGAAGACATCAGCGGGCAGAGGGAAGGAGGCCGAGCCTGAGGAAATGAAAAGTGAAAGGAGGTGAGGTCAAAGGAGGAGTAGAGGAAGATTGGTTGGTGGGAAATGAAAAGAACTGTGTGCGACTCTGTTCTTGTGTGCAGATGTGTGTTGACTCACGGTTCTCCAGAGGCAATGTGCGTTCGTGCTGTTGCTGCACAGGAACGGGCAGACGTTGGATCCTGTCGGTGAGGTCCTGCACCTGGCGAGCCTTCTTGTGCCTCTGGGCACCACACACAGTCTTCTCTGTGGGCGGGAGGATGAGAAAGGAACGGTGCAGATAAGTAAGAGAGAAGGAGACAGATGGGAGATCAGCAGAGGGAGAGAGAGAGAGATAGAGGAGAGAAAATTGGAGAGAGAGAAGCAACAGGAGTCAGAACATATGTGCTGTGAGCATGCATGCCACAGGCAATCAGTCCCAATTCAAACCAGCGGCAGCATAAAAAAACAGTAAACAAACAGCCTATAGGGAGATGTAGTCCCCTGGATATTTAAAATAAATACACACACACTTTCATACAACATTTTCAAAAGGGCAGAAAAGGATTGTCTGGGTAATCAGACAGTTTGAAAAGACGGGTGTTATAATGGTAATCTTTTCAAATTAAAAGCAGGGTTAGAGGTGTTTGAGAAGAGGAAGTCAGATAAAGAGAGAAAGGTAGATTAGAGAGAAAGATGTCAGTAATGGCAGAAAATGATGACTCTGATCCAGGGATGGGCAGGTTTATCATGCGCTGTCAATCACTGATATGTTTGCAGACTGCTTAAAATGCAGAGTTACAGTGTACAACAAGGTCACATTTCTATTTAACTGACAGCTGATGAAACACCGAGCCCACTGCCAGATTTTCACGCTTCATTTCCTCGCACAACTACTACACAAGAGGGAGCGGAGAGCAGCACAGATCAGATAAAATACAAGCATCAAGAAGGTGAGAGAGGCAGAAAAATATGTTGCTATACACTTTGCTGGGAGCATTCGGGGTAAAGCAGGAGGGAGACAGCAATATATCTGTAGGCAGGGCATCACCTGGTGCAGTTTCAGTGTTCAGACCACTTGGGGGCAACTTCTGCGCAGCACCGTCGTCAGCTAGACTCTGCAGCAGGAAACAGCGGATTAAGCCAACAGCCAAGGCCATTTCAAGGCAGTTTAATCAGTAAAACATTGAATAAAAGTGTACTTCAATAAATCTTATTTGAGAACATAAAAAGGTCTTTGAAGAATGTGTGGACCCTGTGCTAGAAAAATGACTCTCGAAACTGTTATACATTTGTTCTTAACTCGTTTAATTACTAAGAAACACAGACAGATTTTAATATTTTCTCCTAATAGACAATATAAATGTGTATAAAAAAAATTATCTTATAAAGGAGTTTGGCTCATACTGCATCAAAATAAGAATTACTTATAGTGTGTAAATGTCGTGCTTTTTTTTTTTTAGCTGGATGCTAACCCACCAGAGCTTCACTCTGGTCTTTCTCTGACTTCTGAGGTGGACACGTAGACTTCAACCCTGAAAAGACAAACATTTGATTATTAGATTAAAGGACAAGAAAGCAGGTCGTTTTTTTTTTTAATTTAAGAGAAAGCCAGTCTGGTAAAAGAACAATTCAGGTGCTCGAGTGCATCAATAAAACACACCATCTCAGGGGCTCTGTTTGTGTTTACAGGCATCACAATATGCTCAGCACCTTAGATTGTTTTCATTTTCTACAGTGTAATCACTCACATTGGCCTCACACATCTGGACTTTAGCTCCAGAAAAGGCCTAATATTGAAAGTGTGTCTTTATATTTGCACATACATATTTGCAATGTGCACTGAAATTGTTTGTTGCCTTGCACAAAAAAACCTCTCTTTGATTGCTATACATGTGTCTTGTGCAGACTTATTAATGTTAATAGCATAAATCACATCTAATGTTTTCTTTCTTCTCAACATCATCGGTAAGTGATATATTTCTTCAAGTAGATACACAGTGAAATACGGCAGCATTAACTTACATTTATAATTAAGGTTTTTTTGAGTAATAAAACACAAGATGAAGACTCCCAAAAAGTTTCATCAAAGGACAGTTAAAGCTGGTCAACATCATAAACCTACAAAGGCATTTACTGATCCATATTCAATCATCTGTCAGTGAAAAGAGGTGACCTGAAGATCATACATTATGCTCCCATAGTGTAGCTGAATCAATCACAATGTTAATGATACACACAGACTAACCAGGGTCTGCATTGATCTCACTCTGCCTTCGGTTCTGAATCCTCAGCTGCAGCACTAAAAGACAAGAGCAGAGATTGAGTCCAGCGTGTTAAGAAATGATGAAATATCACACGTTTGATGGAACAGGAGCTTGGTTTGAGTTCTCATTCCAGTAAAAATGATATGAGAAAAGATGTGACACTGATGTGGGAAAGGTAAGAGTTGAGCAATGCAGGACAGCCTGGACTGTACCTGTCAAATGATCTGGACATGTAACTATATCACCTCATGACTCTGCACTGCTAGTACATGATCTACGTCCTTGCATACCTCCACACACCTACACAGCACACATATGCTCACATACATTCAGTACACATAAACAGCAGGGTCGGGCTGGGTCGGGCCGGACCTGTTAAACTGTGTGCCCCCCTTCCCATGATACACTTCAATGAGTTTTGAGACCTGTTGAGGGGGGGGGGGGGTGGCGATGAGGGCTGTAACTATTTATCTCTCAGTATGTCTATTTCTGTAGGTCCCCATCCCCCCTCCAGCTGTCCCCCTCTCTCCACAAGTCGCCTCACGTCATCCTCATTCCTGCTTACACTCTTCTTCCTGCTGTCTACCTATCGGAGTGTTCAAAACAAAAGTTCAACGTTGTAAAAATCTGGATTTAAAGCAGATTAGCACACTGGGCTCTGTCGTCATAACAAGTTATAGAAGTGGTGTTTATCACTCTGAAGTGTCTGTTGGGTTTCAGTGTGTGTGTGTGTGTGTGTGTGTGTGTGTGTGTGTGTGTGTGTGTGTGTGTGTGTGTGTGTGTGTGTGCGTGTGTGTGTGTGTGCGTGTCTACCAGTAAATTGATTTTTCTTTTCTTTTTTAAACAGGAGGCCAAATTTAAATCTTTAGCTCAACCTTAAATCACATCATATAATATAAATGTTTTTTATGCCTCTATTTACAGACAGGACAGTGGATAGTGTCAGAATCTGGGGAGAGAGAGAGTGGGGAATGGCATGCTGGAAAGGAGACACAGGTTGGACCCGAACCCGGGCCGGGCCGCCTGCCTGGAGGGCCGTGGCCCTCCGCACATGGGCCGCGCACACCAACCACTAGACTACCAGTGCCCCGAGTACACCTATATCTAAAATACAAAGAGTGTTTTTGCATCTTTCATGTCAAATCAATAATCAAATGTAACAATCTTTGAAGGGAATTGTGTTTTCAATCATAGCTAATTAAAACCTGTGGCGAGGCATTTCAAGTAGATTGTTTGTTTTAAGGAGTCAATCTCTAGTTCAACATAAGGTTTTCCACATTCTCTGAAAACTGACACATGCTCACTTATGATTTCATCATTTCATTTCTAAGGTCAACATAAACATACAAATTTGTCTCTAAAAAAATCATGACTGAATCTAAGACGGTGTGTCTTGCACTAAGTATGAACATTAGTTCAACATGCTAGCTCAGTGAAATATTCCTCCAACTCTGTTATGTTCATACATGATTTCAGACAGAGCAGCTGCCCTAAAGAATCACGTTTTCCAGCAGGTGTTTGTGCACCTAAGGGGGCTGTCTCCATGTCGTTTCCTCGTCTCTCTAGTTTACCAGCCCTTTACGACAGCTGCATCGGAACATTACAGCAGCCGCTTCGCTTTGTAGGGAAACTCTCATTATGCACGCATACCAAAGTTTCCTCAGTGGCGTGTGTGGCAGGTCGCTGGTTATCTCCTGAGAGTTGTTTGTCAAACTCTGTGAAATCATTTAGAAAAACTTTCTGCCACTCTATTTTTGCCCTGAAGATATTAAGATACTAACTCAGGATGTAGAAGGATATCATCAGTGTGTTCTACCAACATTTTTTTAATTTGATTTGCAAAAAGTCAGGATGCGTTTCCCAGAAACTAACTCTGACTGATTGTTATTGTGACAAAAATCATTATTTTGATGTGGCTTTGAAATTATTTGCTTTACATTAAAACACTTTTTGATACAGACTAATTATGAAATGACTTGTATGCATTCTTAGTTTTTGTCTGGATAGCAATGCAGCGCACATTCCTGGCGGTTTTGGTTGTAATGAATGTACTTGGATGTGTATTTGTATTTTTTATTTTTTGGGGGCTTTCTGTGCCTTTAATGGAGAGACAGGACATTGGATATAGTTGGAAATCAGGGAGAGAGAGTAGGGAATGACATGCGGTAAAGGAGCCACAGGTGGGATTTGAACCTGGGCCGCCCGCTTGAAAGCCACCAGTGCCCAGGATGTGTACATTTTGACATTTTTTGTCAACAGGGAATTTTATTTTTCAATAATCTGTTTGTTTTTCTCTCAGGTTTCTCTGTTTTCTTAAATGTTTTTTCGACTAGAAGTTTGGGGGTTTTATGCATCATTGGCTCTTATCCCAAATCATTTTCTCTATAGGAGACAATTAATTAACCTTAACCTTAAAGGTCATCCGTCTCTTTTAACATGTTTAGTGACAAACCAGTGTCACACGTCACATCCAAAGATGTTTACCCTCAGGCTAAGCTGTCTTCGCAAATATTCAAAACATCTCGGCCTGCGGGTTAGAAATCACTAAATCTATTCAACATGATCAATACATATCGATTACGTGACAAACAACCTGACCAAGCAGCCGATAACCTTCGGAGCAACACCTCACCTTTATGTATTGATGCTAATGGTGGCAATTATTGTGAGGATGTAAAGCTACTGTTGTGGGGAATGATATCCTTCTTTCTTTGATTGGTTTGACTTGAGACATGAAAAATCCTCACCTGAGCGGAACTTGTTCCGGATGAGGAGTGACCTCTCGGAGGCCAGCAGCGTCATGGCGGAGAGGATGGAGGAGCCGGTGCAGAGAGAGAGAGAGAGAGAGATTTCCTGGTGTCACTCTGCCAGGAGGAATGGACCCCTCTCCTTCTGTCTCTCACTGTTGGGAGTAACAGAGGAAGAAACAGGGGAGAGAGAGGGACAGATGCTTGTTAATCCACTGATAGACACAAACCGATATTGATAGAGGCACACAAAGCACAGCGGAGATAGATTGAGGGGGGAAATAGAGACGTCCTTCAGGCGGACTGCGGAGAGCTGCTCAGGCCTCCCTACAGACAGCTTGTCATAATCACACAGAGAGTCACAGAGAACCACCCACAGACACACAACGAACGACACCAAGAATTAGACAGACGAGGAGGCTCTAAGAGAAGAAAAGGGGAGAGAGGGGCCTTCATGAGAGTGGAACAGAACCCTCAGGAAATACTCAGACATCAGGGCTGGGAAGACACAAATTTTATGCCAGTCAAACATGATCTTGAATAGCATCGCACAACACGACCACAAAATGTGTCATGCACCAAAAGAAGCAAACAATGAGAGTTGTGAATCTGCATAAACTGCATTAGCGTGCACAAACACACACACACACACACACACACACACACACACACACACACACACACACACACACACACAGCCAATTAACAATATTGATTTGAACCAGCCGCCCACAGAACACCCAAAGGAACCCTGTTTGAAGGGATCATTCGAACACACACATACAATAACACACACAAGCACTTTGGGGTAGCTGTGGTGTTGCATACTAAATCAGCGCCGTCCCAATCCCATAAATGCACACACCTCACTTGTTTACAATACAAAGAGCCAAAAAGAAGGCCTCTAACTCGTGAAGGCAATCAAATAAGGAGGACAATGATTGAGATTTCTGCTCCTGCACAGGCGTTATTTCACAGTAGGGCACAAGAAGGCAGTGAAAACACAGAGAGAATAAAAGCAAGAGAATGAAAGAGAATACTTACAGGAAAGGAGAGAATTGCGTCCCTCGGGGGAAATTGGAGTGGATTTAAGATTAAATTGAGAGAGGTGCGAGATGCAGGAAGACAGGGAAAAGAGAGAACTTCGTGGTGCGTTTAATGACGATTTCTTTCTTTCATGTTCTTTTCAAATCCTTTTTTCCCCTTTCGCTCCTTCTCACTTTCTTGTTTCTTTTCTTTTTTAGCTCCTAAAGGTGAGCCGCAGAGAGAACAAGGATTGGTGGTTCCTTCGTCTCCCTACGATTGAAACTCACCCTCTCTTCCTCCGCCTCACTCTCTCTGCCCCCTCTCCCAGTCCGCCCCAAAGCATCCTGGATCTTTGGTGCCAACTGTGAGCGACTGTCAAACTTTACCCCTCCCCCCTCCATGCCCCCCCACCTCTACCCCTGATGTTTCTGCAGATTCAAAGACAATAATCACTTTTGTTGTGTTTGTTTTTACATGCAAACATCCCCAATAGGTTTATTAAAGTAAGTAAGTGATTTGAAACATAATTTGACGGATAAAAAGACAGTATCAGGCTACAGAGTCAGTTCATTACAACAGAGAGAAAAGCCCAAGAGTATTAGGGACTCACATCAAATCATGTACTGCAGCAGGACTGCAGGCTCAAATGTACCTGTCAGGACACCTTTGGGTCACCCTCTTAAAGTGATTTAGTACTGATAGCATGCGAGCATAAGTGTGTGTGTGTGTGTGTGTGTGTGTGTGTGTGTGTGTGCGTGTGCACTAGGTGTATGTGTGTGACACAACAGGGATTCTCAGGTCAGTGAGTCAGAGTCCGTCAGCATAAAGTAGCAAAATCACCTCAAGCTCCCAGAACTTCAGTGAACATGTATGACAGTTCTTTTCCCATGTGCACATGCTCTTTACATGTGTGTGTGTGTGTGTTTGTGTGTGTGTGTGTGTGTGTGTGTGTGTGTGTGTGTGTGTGTCTCTGTGTGTGTGTGCCTTTGGGCTGCAGAGGGGTAAAAAGTGGGGGAAGTGAGGTCGTAGCCAGAGCACCTGTTCTGTCAACTTGACAGACAGGCCGGTGTGTGTGCTGGTTCAGCAGGTCATCGCGAGGGGGAGACTAAGAGGGGGGGGGGGGTGAGGTAGAGTGGGGGAGGCAAAGTTTAAGAGGAAGGGAGGGAACACAGGGGGAAGTCTTTTTCAACTAGGACAGGATGACAATCAGGGAAACAGAAGAGAATAAAAACAAAAAAAGGGGCTGCCGTTTTATCGGATGTTGGATAAAGACTGTGACGTAGAGACCAGGCAGCAGAGATAGCCCCGCATGAGCCAATAAGGGTTGCCATGACACAAAATGAAACTAATGGAACACAAAATGAACAGGAACCTCAATTCAATACACGGTTACAGAGGGACGGCTCTTTCAGGTGCAATTTTCGCAGCACATCTGAGTTTTTTTCATCATTATAAAACCTCACCTTTGACAGTTATTCCTCTCATGACCTGTAAATGCATTTTCCCACACACACAAACAAGTGACACACATGTACAGCATGTATAAACAGTGACTGGACTGACAGCGTGGCACATTATTGAGGGAAAGGTGATGTAATTTCTGTTCTCTCTGGTTCCCCTCCACAGCTACACCCTCTCCTCCACAGCCCTGTCTGATTAACACCTGTTGCCACCCCCCCCCCCCCCACACACACACACACACACACACACACATACACACACACACACACACACACACACACACACACAACCGTCCACACGCACACACTACTGAACTGTGTGTCTGGTGAGGGAGGAGGCTTGCACGCCATTAACCTTTCCCTTGTGAAATATCATATTTCATAGTGTAATTCTGCACTCATGTGCTGCACACATGCTGGGATACATCATTTACAAATGTAAATCTATTATACATTTGTAATGTCATGTACGATAAGCGTACATTTAGTATTGCTGTCCTTTGCAGTTGAATCTGCAGAGTTCAAATATGGATCCAGCTCTCCCTTAGCTTGCTTTCCAACCTGGTAAAAGAAACCCTCCACCGTTTAAAGAGTCAGCAGAGGGAATGAGCCAGAACATGCAGCACATCATAGGTGTAATAGTGCCCTCACATGGCCAAACTGTGCAACAACAGCCATGCATTTTGCACTTTAAAAATAAGAAAACATCCATAGATAATTTAGGCTTTCCATCATGTTGGCTGTCTGTGGCAATAAAAGGACAACAAAGCGGATTCAAAACAAACATATAAAACTGCAGGCTGTATCAGAGAGAATGTAAAGCTGAAACACACACCGCTCCGTCTAACACACTTCATTACATCTGCAGCCTCTGCCTGCTCGTTCATCACTGCACCCATTCTCCTCTCTCGCTCCTCTTCTCCTCTACCTTTATCACTTCAATCACTTGGCCATGTGCCGTGTGCCACTCAGAAGGCCTGCTGCCCGTTCCACTTCACGCACACACACACAGGGAGTGAGAGAGAGAAAGGGGCATATTTCACACACACACACACACACACACACACACACACACACACACACACACACACACACACACACACACACAGACAGACCCCACATATTTCCTACTTCTCTGTCCGTCATCCACCTGTCCGTCAGTCACTGCACTTTGAAGCTCTCTGCAATCTGGATACCCACCAACTCTACACACATACACACACACACTTTACTGTACACACACTCCTCTCCAGCTGGACTACCAAACTCAGACACAAGGTTGAATATTCATCATCATCACACCCTGAGAACCACTCAGCGATGCAGCAGCCCAGCGATGTCAATTAGAACCCAGAGTCTGTTTTCAATGTATTCTTCTTCTTTTTTTAACTGATGGAGCAGCACTGATTAAGCGGCTCAACCCCTCACATTGACCTCAACAATATGTATGAAGCACCTCAACAACAAGGTTAGTTTAGGCCCCCTCTTTTAAAGGACATAAGGGGAGAGGCTTACTGTTAAGTGTGACCAAAATAAATTAGCCATTTTCATTATGAAAAATGAATTCCATCATATCATGTGATGAGGAAGTGTGAATAATTATATTTAATCTTTTTTTGGGAAAAAAAAAAAACTTTTCAGGGTTCATGTAGGGGCCTATGCATTCTCGTTCATGTTTATATACCATAAACAGTGAATGAAAAGAATTCAAACATTGAGTTGATGTTTTGTATGATTTACAGTCACGTGTGGACTTTCAGGGAAATGGTACAATGGTTACGATAAAATATCTTTACATGTTTGTATTAGAGAGAGTCTGTGCTGTAGGCGTGGCAGCAATCACTTCAGGATGATGTGATGTTAAAGTGTAGTAGCCTAGGTGTGGGGGGGGAAAGGCTGTGCAGAAGAGCTGAAAGAACATTTTAAACAAATGTCAAGGCAGTGTCACTAAGGAGTAGGATGAATTGTAGGAGTGTGTTTCTAAAGTACAGAAACAGCTAGAATACAGAGATAACTAGCTATAAATACTAAGTGTTAACTATTAATAGTAAAACAGCATTTATAAAGCATTTGAACTATGCATCCTACAACTGTGCTAATCACTGTAAGTGACTCATTATTAAGTGCACAAAAGTCATACCAACAGAAACTTGATCACACAAGGTCACACAAACTACCAAATAAATTGAGAAGTACAACTTTGCCACACTTGAATGATGTTTACTAACATAACAGTATGTAAAAAGACTGAAAACAACATAAAACACACACAGTTTTAACTGGCTAACACAAAAATCCCGGAATTATCAACTCACATTTTTTCTGAAACACACAAAACAAATGTCCATCCGGGACATCTGTGTCCGTAGGTGGTCCGTAGTCTATGGTTCGTCGTAGGTAAGGTCAACACGTCAGAGTGTCTCCCTCCCTACCGCATTGTGGGGATGCGCGGTGGGCATGCGGCGTTCAGGTGCATGCGGCGTTCAGGTGCATGAGACTGATCAGCCACGTGAGATGTAAAGAAAGGAAAGACCGCTGTCTCTGTTTATAACACACATTTTTAACAGTGTTAATTGTCTACAATAGAGTATGTCTTGTGTTATTTTCTTTAATTATGTGTTACAATATGTGTGATGTGAGAAAGTAGCCAAATAAAATAGGCCTACGTAGTCGTGAATATTAAATCTGCCTGGCCTCAAAGTCAAGGTAGGTTTTTTAGATGGCCTGTAATGCAAAAAACGTTCAATTCAATCGCACCACGAAGGAGACCTGCTCATATTCTTGTCCTTTGCTGGCACAGCACAATACATCTGAAGATAGTCAAAGACATGTTCCCTTTTTCACATGTTTTAAATATTTCCAAATATTTCTTTGTTAGTTTTTTCTTGTATTTTTCTTTTATATCTCCTCTCGAAAGCCTTTCTTAGCACATAGGCCAAGTGGTTGAGTTTGAAGAGTCAACTTTCACTAGGAGCTCATAATTCAACTATTTAATTTTGTTAAACTGTCTTCATTTTACTATATTCCAACATTTTGTCTAGATTTCTTTGTTGAGTTGGAGAAATTGAAAAATAAAATGTTCAGACAATCTCAACCTGTTGAAGAGTCATATTCTTCAGCTGGTGTGTGTTCTGCATTTTCACACTGCATAGAGCATGAGGAATTTTGAATCCTACAGTTGGTATGGACAGGAGGAAAAATACAGTGTCAGTGACTAATAAGTCAGTATGGGTGACCTCTATGCCCTCTGTGCCCCCCAAAAAATCTGATACTTTTGATCAATTGTGTTACAGCAGCACTGTTAACCTTAGTTCCTCTACACCTCTCTCCTTCCACTGACCCTCTATAAAAGATAGTATGCCAAAGTAAAATACATCAAGTTTAACCTGGGTCTATCAGCATGCAGCAGGAGTATCTCTTTTTCACACAGTGACCAGCATATGGGACGTCCATGAGGACCCAGTAAGGCCATTTGAGCATTGCGGTCCTTAACTTATCTTGAGATCAGCTTTGTTAGGCTCAGTGGCGGAAATGGAGCAGAAAATTGAGAGTGTGAGAAAAAAACAGAGGACTGTCTTACAAACTCAATTACACCCTGGAGGCAGTCCAGCAGATACACATCAGGTAGATTTCTTCTTTTTCCTTCTTTAACGAAAAAAAATGTATGTGAAGTCTGGCCTCATCTTTGGTTATTAATGTAGAATAGAAAGTTAAATCTGAGGATCAGTTCATTTAGAAGAGATGTGTTCACATCTGCAAAGAGAAGTTATTAAATACCTTTTTTTAATCAACTTTAACTCTTCAACAATTGCTTTTGGGGAGAAATGAATGAACATTAAAAATATGATGAAAAAGTAGTTAAATTGATAAAGTTTAATTCAAATAAGTTAACATAATTCACATTTAACAAAACAAATCTCAATATAGTGTTCATGTGAGAATCAATCAATACATTTGGTCAAACTCTGACACGATATGAATTAAATATGTAAAATAAAACAGCTGCAAAAAAGTTAGTATTTTCCTTCACAATTTACATTTTTTTGATATTTTTCTAAAATAAAACATGTGCAAATGACTCACAGTGTCTCTGACAGTGACAAGATAGATTATATCTTTCACATATAGTGCAGGAGTGCAGCTAATAAAAACAGTTCTCTCTATATATATATTTACAGCTAGAGCAGAGAATTGTTTACAGTAAATCAGTTATCTTTCTTTTCTGAGCACTTGAGGGTTTTTTCATTATGGATTGTATAGGAATGCACCTCTTGCTTGCGATCAAAATAAGCATTTCGAACTCAAACTAAAATAATTATTACAAGCAGGAGATTTCCCTTTAAATTATGCAATTTTACCCAAAACATAAACACTCAAATTAGCATCAGAAGGACTGAAAAGGCTGAATATTTGGACCATTAAATGGAATGGGAATACTATACATTCATAAATAAATTATTTTATAAACATTGAAACATATTGCATGTGCTCCCTTCCTTGACTTTGAATTAATGAGGAAAGTTTAGTGTTTAACACTTGATCACCCTGCTGATCTCCTTCCTACACTTTGGACTCTGTGCAGACAGCTCTCTAAGTTTCCAACTCAGACTCTGAGTTTTCCAGGTTTGACACAGTGGAGCTGTACCACTCAGCACTCTCCTCTTCCTCCTGCACCCTGGATCCTTCACCTCCTCCCCCCTCTCCTCGGCCGCCTGCTCTCCTTTCGTTCAGCATCTCCATGGCTACTTGGTGGTAAGGGTGTTTGCGCTTAGTGTGTCTGCGTAGTGTGTTGCGCTCAGCAAAGCGGGTGTGGCAAAGTTGGCACTGGTACGGTTTCTCTCCGGTGTGCACCCTTTGGTGGCGCTGCAGCTCACCAGCTTCCCTGAAGCGTTTGGAGCAGATGGGGCACACAAAGTTTCTCTGGCCTGTGTGGATGTGCTTGTGTCTCTGAAGGAAAAAGTAAACATTTTACTTAAAAATGAAGGGAATTGGAAACGCTTTGTGCATTGCCAGACTAATTGTGTGATCTATTCTTATTTTTCCGGTTGTCTTTTTACATGTCTTTATTTCACTCTTTTTTTCTGTCTCTCTCTCTGTCCCACTTTCTCCACCTAGACAGTTTTGGCAGATTACTTTCCACCAATTGTTCTACCTCTTAAAATGAAGTTTTTCCTTGCCACTGTTGCATAATGCTTGGTGGATTGAGCCAGGTCAGCATTTATACAGTTACGATTAGCTCTAACAGCTCTAATAACTTTAGAAAAGGCAAAAGCAGGTAGCTGTTTTTTTGTCTAAAAAACTATAATACCCACTTTATGCTACCAGCTCAGGGGCATGTCCAAAGGGTTGGCCAGGGGTGGCACGCCCCCCCCCCCCCCCCCAGAAATCTGACTGGCCATCCCAGGTGCCACCCCAAAAGTCGTAAACTGTGATAGGCTATTTGCCCTGTCAAAGGCGGGACCTATGTTAAAACCAACTAGGTCATTTTTTGCAAAGGCTGGTAGTATGTTTCTTAATACTACCAGTATTATAGCATACTTCCTTTTTTGTATCTATTTTTTTTATAAAAAAGAAAGTATGCAATCTGTCTTACTTGCAAGTCAGGACCAAAATATTGCCATTTCATGTATTTTTGCAAGTTTAACTGTGTTCAGGAGTTAGCATGCACATTTTAAAGTACTTTAAATTGTGACTTTGAACAAATATCTTTTCTTTTTTTTTCCATTGCAAAATTAAGCTTATATAAAGTTATAAAGGGTAAATAATTGATATTTATTTGTGTGTGTTTGTGTGCACATCACACTTTAGGTTACTCCTGCAAAAGTCAGTGACCCGGTTTGGCCACCCCAGTCAAAAAAGGTCAGGACACAGCCCTGTACCAGCTCAACACCAAACAGCAGACACACACAAATAGCGACAAGCTCATAAAAATAGCAAAGCATTTAGCAACTAAAGAGCAAGATATTTCCCCGGAGAGTAGGGAAAACAAAGCTAGAGTTAAAAGAGTGAACATGGTATCCATCAGATTGCCACGGATATCCATTTCATTCTAATGTTGCTCCACATCTGCTGGGAGTATAAAGAAACTGTTTCATAACATATAAAGATGGAAAGGTGATAAAAATGTTTTAACTAAAGAATCTGTGACTTACTTTCTTTTTAACTTATTTCAAAAAGAGAAAACAAAATAATAGGAAGCATTAGTAAGCACTGACCTGCAGATGGCTAGATCGTTTGAAGGCTTTCCCGCACTGCTGACAGACGTGAGGCTTCTTCTGTGAGTGAGTGATGGCGTGTCGCTCAAGGTCAGAGAGGTAAAAGAAGACACGCGGGCACAGCTGGCAGTACAGAACCCTACGGGTGTTGTTGGAGGACTCTTCTGAAGAGAGGGGATCCAGCGGGTCCAGGGGATCCTGGGCGGATGAGAGGATAGATCCAAAGGGAGGGGAAGGAGGAGCGGCGGCGTTTGAGAAGTAAAGATGGTCGTCCAGAGGTAAGTGTTGTGAGTGCAGGTCTGGCGAATCATATTTGGGTTCCGAGGCAGGTGACTGAGCCTCTGAGCTTGGCTGAGCTAAGCTTTCCACGGTTGTACTAGCAGAGGATTCTGAAGTTGATGGCTTGTTGTTTTCATTAGAGATTTCTTCAGCAGATATGGCTTCACTTCCTGGGATTGATTCGGAAGAGCTGATTTGAGTATGAAGAAGGGGAGTTGTGCGGTGGAGGTCATTCTGAGGAGCAGGAGAGGACGATTGCATGCTAAGAGAGGCGAGAACAGAGCCAGCGTTGACATTATTTACCCCTGACAGGATGACAGGGGGGTTATTGGGGCTCAGTCTGATGATGGGGTGGGACAGCGTGGGCAAAGGTGATCCCAGCTGACCACAGGGCAAAGGGAGGGAGACCGCAGGAGCCGAGGCTGCCGTGATTTGTGACAACTGACCTGTGGCGGGGTCGAGAACGGCAATCGGGGTGGAGGTAGAGGCGGAGTCACCAGAGGATGTATTGGGTACAGATGATAAGAGAATGAACATGGAGGTGGAAGCACCTGGGGAGGTCTGTGTGGCTGAGAGAGGAAGCGATAGACCCCCAGGAGCAGAAGAGAGCTGAGGGGAGGAAGTGGCTGACAGGAAGAAAATAGGAGTGTTTGTAGAAGGGCTTGTGAGGATCTGAATGGGCTGGGTCGGGAGTGATATCCCAGTGGAAGCTGACTCAACAAAACTAGAGTCCTGAACAGGTTTAACGCTCAGTTCTGCAGGTCCAGACGGGTCTGATTTAGTAATCAAACTTGCGAAGGCTTCGTTCTTTGTCATTGTCTGATCTATAGGTAGCGACAGAGAGTCTGTATCAGGGGCTGATGAGGGGGACAGATCACCTGAAGTTTCATTTAGTACTTTATCCAAACTTTGGCTGATGCTAGGATCTGCTAATTGAGACCACTCTGTTTCTTCCTCCTCTGCTAAATTAGCCAGATAAGACTGAGGATCCTCTGACGTGGAAGCGCCGACCTGCTGCACTTTAAGTCCATCCAGACCGAGAGTGTACGGGATTCCCTGGTCGTCTATGAGAAGAAGATCTTCAGTGTCACAGTCCACTGAAGAGGAGTCAAAGAAAGAGTTAGAAAAGAAAGAGGGAGACAGAAGAGAGTCCCCTAGGGTATCTCTCCCATCCATATGTTGCACAGTGTTCTCTCCTCGACCCTCGTCGTCCTCTTCAACTACATCTCTGTCTCCTTCTCCCTCATATTCATCCACCTCCATGATCAGCGAGCTCTCGCAGCCTGAATCATCCAGTAAGAGTCCACACCTCCTGTCTCTTTTCTTGGGCAAACTAAGATCCAGTGGTTCTGTCTGTTCTTCCATTCCACAATCCAAAGTCTCACATGACTTTAAATCAATTGCTTGCAAAATTAGAGGAATATTCTCAATTTTTTGCTCCGTATTTTCCTCTTTAATCCTTTTCTGGGTGAGTATTTTTTCCATATTAGTGCAGGGGATCATATGAGTCTCTGGGTTATGGTTTTGTGTGACTTCACCACTCAAAACTTCTTTCTTTTTGCAGGTTTTCTCTTCTGTCTCGTGGAATGATTGTGGTTTAGCATCCTCATTGTTTTGATGAGAAACTTCCTGGATTTCTTCTTCATTCTTATCAGCAGATATTTTGTCTCTTAATTCTTCAGCTGAGACAGGAACAGGTCTTATAAAATGTGAGCTAGCAAAGTTTTTGGTCTGGCTGATGGCAGAGTTTGTGATTGGCTTCTTGCACTGTGTGGGGACAACAATTTTGAGTCTGATTGGCTGGCTGCACACTACAGGCACTCCAGTCTTGACTGTAATAGGCTGTCTCAACCCAGCAATCTTGCTTCTTGTTTCCTGAAAGGCTGGCTTAGAAGTTCCGCCCACCTCTAGCTTTTTCCCATTGATTGATGGAGCTTCTGTCCTGATGGTCAGTGCTGCTGTGACAGGGCATGGCTGGAGGTTACCTGGTACAGAACAGGGTGAGGTGTTTTCCTTGTGGTCCAAAAAAACCTCTGTCACTGGCCCTGATCCTTCTGCACACTGGCTGCCATTTTGGACATCCAGGCTGCCACTGGTCAGGACTGAAGCCAGCTGAGAATCCATTTTGGGGCATACCCATTTATATTTCTAGGCTACATAAAAGGAATAAAATTAGAAATTAGAAACCCATAGTAGAAAAATGACAGTAGGCATGAATAAAAAAAATATATATATCATGGCAAACTGGAGAGGATTACATAAATAAAGGCCTTTTCTGTTTTTTGTTTTTTGTTTTTTTTAGTTAAAGTAAATTTGTCAAATGGGATTTCTGGGGTCAAGTTTAGTTCAAACGCCAGTAGTCACAGATTCTGAGTTATTGTCTGTAAATGAAGCAGACTGAACCCCTAACTCCCTACAGCGACATGATGAACGACTCAGTTAACCCCCTCCTCCTCCTCCTCCTCCTCCTCCTCCTCTTCCTCCTCCTCCTCCTCCTCATCATCAGACCGTCCCGATAATTGCGTTGAATAGCTTCCTTTGAATGATACGAAATTGTACAAGCGAATTTCTCACACGATAGAAGTCGCCTATCATTCAGAATAATACCGGGACTGACAGATGTGAGCGAAACATTTCCTCTTTCGCAGGGCTACTTCTACCGTCCACATGCATCACAGACAATAAAACATCATTTCAAAACTCGCATTGGATTAATACTTGTAGCCTACTCCGTTTGCTTTCGGTTACGAGCCTGTTCTCAATATTTATCTGTGGATAAACCGAGAAGCACTATCCGTGGAGGACGCCATTACGCACAGTCCTAGGTCCGAAAAGCCAGTATAATGGACATAGTGCGTGTGCGCTTTGACAGCTCTCGGACCTGGGACACCGCCATCGCTATCACTTCAGTCAGGGTAAAGAAAACGCGAATATTTAAAGACAGTCTCGCTGTGAAACTGATCTTTCCCTCAGCACCGGAGCTTCCTCGGACCTAGAGCCAGCCATTTTATAGCCGAGGGTCCGAAACAGCGCGAGTGCAGCCCCGGCAGCTTTTTAGGACAAACTTTCCCCGCGCGCTGTCATCTCGTTTCCCCGCGTGCTGTCAGAGCCGGCGGAGCACGCGCCGGGCTCCCTTTCGATACATTTAAAACTGTATTTTAAACTATACTCCACCCATACTCTCGCGGCATAGGGACTGGCTTACCCGTGCTGTGGATATTTCCGGAGGACCAAATATGACTGTGCAGTGTAAAGGGTGATGCTGCGAATGCCGAGGGAGGGAGGGGTCAAGGGGAGTTGCTATGGTGTCGCAGCCTACCGGGTCCGACCAGTAGCCATGTTCAGCCTATGAGTACGGTTGAACCTGCAGCCTGAAAAGAAAGGCTCCCTGTGCGCCTGACAGTCAAGCAGAAGGGAAGCAAAGCTAACGACACATTGAAAGTCTATAGAAATATGGCCCTGAACTCGCATAGCCTACTAGCACTACATGTGTCACCCAAGAGGAAGCGAGAGGCCGTTTTAACATAACTTTATTTCAAATCATTAACACTTACAAGCCTGGAGACTCGATGCGTCAGGTTTAACGGAGGAAAGACAGATCACACAGTGAGATATCACAGAGTCGTTATTATGAGTAAGGTTACATGAAGGTATCATCACAGGCTTAACTGAAGTAGTAATACATTATATATTCATCATAATGAAGGCCCGTGGATTGCAGCCACAGTATGCATAGTCTCAAGCATGAGAAAGATCTAAGTAATACTTTTGCAGTTATAATTACGCCCGCAGTTTGATAGCATGCAGGATAAAGTGACAAAGGCCATGATCCTGAACCACAAGAGCTGTGAATAATATTTCAGTGTCTAACAGACCATAATCATAGTAAAGATAGTCGAAGGAAAGCTGCAGAGTGGAGACGGACTGCCCAAGATGAAGGCTGCCGGCATGAGTCAGGTGGAGGGCTCTATTGTGACACCATGTCATGAGTGTTGGCTGGTTGAGGTCAGACGTGAGGGTCATCACTCCACATCACCAGGCTCGCACGCTTCAATCTCCGAGACCAGCCGGTGGGGGAAGAGTTTGTACTGCAACCATGTAGGCTCTGGAAGACAAAATAAACTGTCAACAATAAGTCCATCCCACCTCATGCTCCTCTCACAACAGATGCAGATAAGACGAGGAGGATCTGCACAGGAGGTCATGGTTTACCAAGGTAGCAGGTTGGTGGCTGCATCTCTCCATCAGAGCAGGTATTGGTTGCAGTGAGGCTGCACTGCTTACGAGGATGTTTGCAGTAGAATGTCACGTTTTCCCCATGAGGAACCATGGCGTCTGTAACATCAAACGGCCAGCGCTTCACTCCACCAATCACAACACGGCTCCGCTCAGCAGGGATCAGACAGCGAGCTGTGGAAACAATCAACAAGGCATGAAAGCACAACATTAGCATCATATAAAAACTGCTGATGCTCTATTCATGCTTGAGTCTGTATGTATAGGAATGTGTCTATGTGTGTTAGTGCAAAGTTGTATATTTGCATTCTGCAAACATTAAATGTGTCATAAGAATTTAAATGCTACATTATTTTTAAAATCTTGATTATCCTTAACATAATGCATCTTGTGTAACAATTTCAAACCTTCCTCACCTCTGCAGTGTGGGGGCGATGCACTCCAGCTGCCGTTGGACAGGCATGTGACCTTCTGGGGTCCATCCATCAGGAAGTTCTTCTTGCATAGGTAATGGATGTCAAAGCCCACTTCATACTCAGTCTTCTGGACAGCCACCACGTAGCCCTGCTCCACTTCTCGAGGAGGCTGGCAGTACACCTCTAACAGAGAGAGGGTGAAGCAGATGATCAATCTGTTTGTTCAGGGGATTATCTAATCAAAGAGGAGATCTAGTTAAAAAGTGTGAAACTGCAACAATGCCTCTGTTTTTTATGATGTCATCTTATCTTTACTTTAGCAAACGGCAAAGTTGGTCATAGTCCGCTTAGCAGAGGCATCCTGTAAGATAGACCTTTTCAACTGGACTGGTTATTCGGCCTCTGGGCCAAATATCAGCACTTTAATTATCTCTGTTAAGCCTTTTGATCATTTACCAAAGAAACACTTATTTTATTACAATCTTAAGCTTTACATGCAGTTTAAGAAGATGCAATTTAGAAAAAGTGAAACGGAATAAAAAAGCTACCATATGCAACATTTTCTTTATTTTAACAACAATTGTACTTTTTTTCTTTTAAGATTAAAAAGTGCAGTTGTTATATTTTAAATTGTCGTTCTCAAATTTAAATATCCAGCTCCTTGGTTGGTAACTCTTTTTTTTTTTCAGGTAGGGCCCTTCCTTAAAGTAATTGAATAGTTGTTGTTGTTGTTGCTGTTGTACAGGCCACGCAGTGCCAAGTTTGGCCACAAGATGGCAGAAAAGCACTATGAAACTGAGTTAGAGAGCTGATCGAAAGGCCTCTGCTTGAAGGATTTTTTTTTATGTTCATCTTCCTCCTTTGATTCACTCTTTTGCATATCTGCACATGCACACAACAAATAAATGTACACACAGTCCTTTAGTCCATTCACTCTCGCATCAAGAACCATTCATTTTTTCTGACTAAACCTTGAAAAGACTGACCGTAAAGAGGAAGACAATTTCTCACACACACTCACCCATATAACCCGTGCACACTTACCCTTACAGATGGGATGAGGATACTGCCAGGTCTGATTATCCTGGCAGTAATTTTCACTGCTCCCGACTATATCGGCCCTGCAGAGGAGAAAGAGGAGAATGATGGATGCAGGTGTTGGAGTGACATTTACATTATTGACACCTAATGAGCCTTATCTAAATAAAAGTAATGAAAAAAGGTGTCAATGGTTCCTTTTTACCACTCTGCGTGTCTTTCAGAGGGTCTAAATTTTGTGTGCACAGCTCTGGCTGACACATCCACTCAGGCTCATCTTTTCCTGTGGATGAGTCAGTGTGTAGAGGAGAGTCAATACCAGATTAGACTGTAATGACCTAGTTAGCGCAATAGAGGCATCAGCTGGGAGATCAAAATGAATTCCCTGCCATTCATCGCTCATCATCCGTCGTTTCCCAAACACCTCTCCTGTAATCAAGGCCTCCCTCCTCTTCTTCTTCACACTCCGTCCCCGTCTTCTCACTTCCTCCATTTCTACCTTATCATCATTACAGGTTTCTCACAGCCTCTTCCTACGCACTCACAACCTTAACCCCTCATTTTCTCCCCCTCTTTCTCACCCAGACAGGCAGCTGTAGCGGATGGATGTTCCAAATGTAGCGTTGCCCTGGATGCTGAAGGTGTTGGTGATTTCCTCAGACAGAGGGCAGGTTTGAGAAGCGGTGGGTATGAGTGACTCTGAAGGGTGAAGAAGAAACAGAGGGTTAAAGACTTTATTTGTAGATCCTAACTCTCAATAAAAGTCGCAATAAGTTGAAGAAAAATATACCCTATAACTAGCAGAAAATCAGCCTTCAGTTACTTTATGACATTTCTACAAGAGAGCAGATGATTGGCAGAGGTGGATAATACCTGAGTACACTCAAGTTAAGTAAAAAAGATGTAGTTTGTTGTAATTCATTTGAATTCTTTAAAATAAACTTCTAAATATTTCTACATTTCCTCCCTTGTCCTCATGAAGGGGCTGCAAGTCACTGCATCACATTGAAACTTCACAGAAGTTATAACATGTTTAAAAGTATGCACTGTTTTAGATTCCATCATTCCATCATGCTTTTATATTTCACCTGGAACATAATGGCTCAAGTAAAAAACAAATGTGAATGATTTTAAGTGTCCCTGTAAATTACTTTAAGCCGTATTTAAACAGTTACTAAATTTGAAACACTTTTGAATGTAGTTGTATGATATGAGGTCATTTTAAGTGTAACACGTCCTATAAAATGAGTTTTATGTTATAATATCATTGTATGTTCTACACAAGCCACAGCAGGAGTTATTAGACACTTAAATCTGCATACAGCGACCTTATTGTCTTCACAACACCATAATACAACACTGCTTTCTGCAGAGTGAATACTTGTACTCTGACAATTTGTCAGGGTACATTGCATTGTTGTATTTCGGTTTTTGTTTAAAATCGTTCTTTATCCACAACTGTCCTGCACTGCCAGCTTTTATGTGTTGTGTAAATCTCCTTGGAGAAATGCAGAAACACTACAGAGAAGTAAACACAACCCAAAATATGTTCCCCATAACCCACACAAACACAGAAAAAACATACAGGAGAAGTGTTGAACTGACGGATGTTGATGTAATTTTACAGCTACACCATTAACAAGTTAAAAAGGAAGAACAAATAAGAACATGAAAAGAGGGTAGCGGCGCAGAAAATAAAATGGATGGGGGAAGGAATTTCCATTATTCTTCCTCATTTGACTTGTGTTTACCAATGTGTTTGAGGTCTGTGTTTATTTTGTGACCCACAGAGGCGTTTCACCCTATGTCTTGTTCTATTTAAGTTGAAAGAGCCCTTCTTAGCTAAGGAATCAAAGTTCCATGAGCAGGTGAAACACCTCTCCGAGCTCACAGCTATATCTGTGATTGTATAACACAGAGCAGTGCTCGTTCCTGGACGTTTGAGTACCTCACGCTCATGGAAATATAAATATCAAGAGTGGTGCTTGGAGAGAGGCTGCAGCGACCTGAGCTCCATGAAGCGCAAGGTTTTGGAGCTGTACACCGCTTTGAGAGGCAGAGACAGCTCTAGCCTGAGGGCTGTCTTAGGTATCTAAGCGCGAGAGACGTTAATATAACAATGTAAAGGCACCTATGGGAGAGGAAGAGTTACGATTCTGTTTGGCTGCGGATGAGAGCCCAGAGCCCAGTTTCTGTTTTCACATATTGCCCTTCCTCTACCTTTTACTGCTGACACCCACACAGACTGCAGCAGCAAACTGCTGTGAAGCAGGTGCAACAGTTCATCTTTTAAAAAATTAGAACAAGTTTAGTTGAATTTTAAATGCATTAAATACACTACAACCATAAACAGACCAAAAGATGCAAAGGTTATGGTTTTACTGTATTTGTCTCACCCAAACATTACCATGCACACAAAATCTAAATTGACTAAAAAGCCCAGAGTTGCAATGAGGTTCTCAGCTCTCATTGTACAGAGAGAGAGACTTTATCAGAGGCCTCAGATGGAAGAGGATGAGAGGAGAAAAAGAGAAGAGGAGAGAGCAGAGGAGAGGAGAGCAGG